CAGGGTGGCTGCCCAAGCAGCCTCTGCAGCCACAGAGCACAGGAGAAAGGGTCCTGCTCTGCCAGAAGGTGACTAAGATGCATGGTTCTTTGCTAGATAGAGCCCTGCCAAGGGGGAAGGTGACAGAGCTCCCACTGGCACGGGCCAGGTGGCCTTCGCCTGCTCCCGTTGCTCCCAACAAGGCTCTGGCTCAAGCCAGGAGATGGAGCATTTTCTTCCTGTTTGCAGAAAGCTACCTCGGTATTTTTGAATTCCAGCAGTCAGGGTGACTCAGTCCTTGCAAACACCAGCCATGAACTGCCAGCCTGCCTTGCTTGCTTTTGTTTGGAGGACAAAAGGGCTCTGGAAACCTCACGTACGCCAGCGAGGCGGCGATAACCGGGCACGGGGCAGTGAACCCCAGCAGGGCCAGCCCCGAGGAGGGGCACAGGGCACAGCAGGTCTGCAGCCAGGACTCGGTGGTGAAGCAAAGCCTGATCCAGCAGGAGGTTTGCTCCAAGTCTGGTGATAGCTAGAACTTGAGAAATTCCCCTGTGGTTGGTGCTGTCCCCACAGCCTGGGAGCAAAGCCCAGCCTGGCTGTAACGCTGAGCCCAGCAGCATCAGCAGGTCTCCCAGCATCCTGTGGTTTGGTTTTCCTCTGCCCCAGGGCAGGGAATGAGAAGGAGTCAAGTGCTCAGATTAGCTTCAGCCTCGGGCTGAGAGCTGAGCCAGAGATTCCCACCACTGCAGCACTTGCCATGGCTGGAGAAAGCATCCAGCACAACTGGGGCCACACACAGCACCAGGCTTCCTGGAGACCCCTGGTCACCAGCCTCCCCCTGGCACAGCCCCAAGGCTTCCAGCCTCAAAGGGCCACATAAAATCTTGGAGCCAGCTTCCCTCTCTGGGCGGGACTGGATGGGAAGCAGCTATTTCTGGAGTGGGTATTTCCCCTGCAGACACGTGGGGGAACACAGCAGGGAACTCACAGCAGCATCTGCTCTTCCTGTGGTGCTGAGTCACCAGCAAACAGCTTCTGCTCCCAAGGAACCAGGGAGAGAGAGCAGCAAGAGGCTCAGATGGGCCCTACCCAGCCCCATGGGGGTGCTGCTGGAGAGCAGAGGGAGAGGAGGGCTCACCTTCATGGACTGCAATGATGTGGGGGTGGTTGAGGGAGGACATGATCTCAATCTCTCTCCGGATATGAACAAGGTCCTGCTCATCCTTGATTTTGTCTTTTCGGATCGACTTGATGGCCACCTGTGGATGAGCAGAGGGTCAGGGACCTGGCAGGGACAGGAGCACTGCAGCTGCCCAAAGCCTTCTGCAGAGCAAAAACCCACCCTGCTCCTTCAGGAAAAGGCTCACAAGAAACAGATCACCATGGCCCAGCTCCTGCACCCGGGTGTGCTGTACCCCAGCTGCTGCACAGCTCCCTGAAGCAACTCCAATAAAAGTGAACTTCATCTATTCCTTTTTATTCTTTTCAAGCCCTGTTGCTGTGCACCAGGGAGAAGCAAGCTCTCCCCAGGGGAAACCTGCTACCAGAGGAGCTCCCCAAGCCTCCTCCTGCAGGTAGCACAGCCTGCTCCTCATTTGTGTGCCATGGTTTTACAGGAATTTTGTCCCAGGCTACTGCTGCCACTGGACCGTGGCCAGCCAAAGGAATGTGACCTGCACACATGACTTCCAAGATAACAGCAGCAACATCTTCTTGGGGTCATGGAAATGAAACAAAACAAAACCAAACCAGGTTTTGTTTTCCGTGCAAATACTTAGTGGCAAGGAGTTGATTATGTAGAGGTAAGAGAAAGTTTGGTATCAAAGGGTAGATCCCTCCCAGGCACAGGACTCTGCTCCAGCCAGGGCTGCAGATGCTGAGCTGCTTTCCAGGCTTTTGCTTGGGTTTTCAAGTTATCCTCTACAGGGAAATTGAAAGGGGAGGAGAAAGAAGAGTAAGTGCTGGAGAATAGATGCCTTCTAATCCTCTTTCAAAGAGGCTGGGGGAGAGACAATGTGCTCCTGGGGTTGAATTTACAACTGAATCCAGCAGAACCTCTTTTTTTGTATCAGATAAGAATGCGGAACAGCATTAATCCTGTAAAGGGACCCCCACACGGTCTCCCAGCAACGGGAAGAGGGACCATGGGCACCCACCAGCCCCAGCTGCCAGCACAGGAGCAGTGCTCAGGGCTGGGGCACACAGGGACCTTCCTCTGCCTTTGGCTGTGTGGAATAGGTGCTCAGTCTCATCTTCTGATGATTTAGGGGAGCAGGGAACCCCTCTCCTTGAGACCTCACCCACCAAGCAGCAAAAGCCCCAGAACAGGTTCACAGCCCTTGCCAAGCCAGCCCCACCAGGCACTAAAGCAGCAAGATCTCAGCTGCCACTTCAGTGTCTTTACTTGCCAATTTCAAGGGCTCAGATGGGCAAATGAGAGGTGGCCAAGGATGTCCCTTTGGCCCCAGAGCACATCTCTGCTGCACGGGGCCACTCCAGGCCAGCAGTGGCCAGGGCAGGGGTTGCCCCATGTGCTGGGGAAGGTCTGTGCCTGCACCAGCCCCAAGGCTTGAAGCAACCAACCAGAATGGACTCTGGCCAAGGGAAGTTCAGTAACCCAGGCCCAAGTTTCTCTACAAAGCAATACTGAAAGTGCTTAATAGCTTCTTGAAAGCCAGGTATTCTTTTCCCTGACCTTTGTGCTGGGTTAACAGGTTAAAGTTTAACAATTTTTTTTAAAATATTTTTCTTTACTCCAGCCCCTGACTACCTGACCCCCACTAGAATGCAGGCAAAGCCTTTATGCAGCAACCCAGCCTGCTCCTGCCCTCCCAGATTCCTGTTGACTCACTCCATTCATCTCCCCCAGCCCAACATCCTCAGCATTTTGGGGTGCATGCATCACATTTGCTTGCTGACCCAGCTGCTCACACACACAAACTGCTGAGCCAGGGCTCAAGGCAAGATCCACCAGCCATAAAAAGACCAAGTGGCTCCAGGCTGTCAGGGCTGGAAGCCTTGGGAGATGCCAATGGCTGTACCCAGCTGAGTGCTGGAGAAGGTCCTTGCCCACGAGCCTGGTGGTTTGTGCCCTCTGAGGCAGATGGGAGGCAGGGCTGGAGCTGTGAGCAGGTTTGGGAGCTGTGAGCAGTTTTGGGAGCTGCTGGAGCCCTGGGGCTGCTGCCTGTGTAACGGTCAGGCAGAACACACTGAGGACAGGACACTGTCAGGGTCCATTTCTCTTACATCAGTGATTTATGGGTGATTTATCCATCTGCCAAGCCCTGCTGGGGAGATTCATCCCTTGGCCATCCCATCTTTCCCCAGGGGTGCTGAGAAGCAGCTCTATTCCAAAACATCCCCTACCCAAGAGGGCTGACAGCAGAGGATCTCCCTTGAGACAGAAAAGGCCACACTCAGCCACCCTGGAGCTGGGGACCAGCAGCTTCAGGAACAGTCCCTGCTGCAGCCTACACACACTGCCAGCAATGCCAGAAGAATTTCCTGCAGGAAGCAGCCCCAAGAAGTCCTGCTGCAAGAGCCTAGAGAACTTGAGAGTACTTTCCAAGTCAAAAAGGCTTTAATTAAAAAGTTTTTGGGGGGCAGAACAGGTATTTTCAGCAGCTGCTGAAAGATGCATTAACAACCCCAGGCAGCACTTCAAAAGTTGTTCCAGGTTGCAAGTGCAGCATTTCATGCTCCATGAAATATGGATTACAACCCAGTGTGGAAGAGACCAGGGTTCACCCCTTACTGGAGATCAAAAGGAGCTTTGCTGGTTTGGAATATTCCAGGTGCTGCCTCCCCCTTGACACCAGACAAGCCCACAACTATGTTTCCGACACTGGGAGCGAGTCCCACGGGAGGTCCCTCTCTCTGTTTGCCTTGGCTGCAGGCCAGGGCTTGGGAACCAGGCTGGGAGAAACAGGAGGCTGGAAGGAAAAAAAAAAGGCCAGATGCTGCCATGCAAACAGGTGCAGGAGCCAGTTTGCACTACCATGGCACACATTTCCCAGTATCTTTTTGTTGGAAGACTCAGCAAAGTGAAAAAAAATAAATATATATATACATATATAAAGTAAAAAGAACCAGCAACTCTCTCCCCACCTGCTTGATAATTAAGGGACCCACTAGTTTTCCAAGGAGTGGAAAGGGCACTCAGCAGCAATACCCACCAAAGGCATGAGCATCATTTCACCTGAAGGCTTTCTAATCAAAAGACAAGGATGGTTTGGTTTTTTTCAGACAAAGAATGTCCATGGGAGTCCCCAAAAATCCTTCACCTGTGGGAGCCTGATCCTCCCTGGAGAACCAACTGATTAGGCACTTTGCTCTGAGCTAAATCCAAGGAGGTATTTAAAATTCAGAGGCAAAAAGAAAGCCAGGAAGCAAAACCAAGATGCTTCAATACTCGGTGCCTCTGCCCCAGGCAGTTTCTGATTTGCCAGCAGCAAACCCCCTGGCTGGAGCAGCTGATGGAGCAGCTCCAGCTGGTAACTCGGTGCTGGAGGTGGCAGTACCTGTGCTCACACCTCGGTGTTTAGGAAGTGAAAGCCACTTAGAGCAGGAGTAAATAACCACCCAGCTCAGGATAAGCCTGAAGATTAAACAGGTCCGGAAATGCTGAGTGCTACAAGAAAGAATTTGTGGGAAGAAGAGAGATTTGTGGTTAAGCCTCCTGCTCCTCCGTGGCCAGCTCGCCAGGGTACTAGTTAGTCCAGCCTTTGACTATCTCAGGCATTTATCAGGGAGTATTGCCTGTGTATTTAATTTGCATTATAACAGAGAAATGGTGCTAGACAAACGTTCCCTACCCGAGGGGCTTCCCCAGCCAGGTGGGTGTCTGGCAGCTCAGAGCCTCCCTGCTCGGCAGGGCCAGGCAGAGCCCTGCTCCCCATCCCGAGGGGAGGGACCCTCCTGGAGCTGAGGGTGGGAGCTGCACTTCAAGGCCCCGGTTGTGCAGCGGAACAGCAGCTTCCCCGGGATCAGACGGGCCGGTGGAAGCGGCAGATCTGCCTTTCGTTACAGAGAGAGATCTGCCTTTCGTTACACAAGAAAACCTTTGGGATTCACAGCCGTTTCCCCTCGTGCCTCGGGGACACGTTAGTGCTGCAGCCTCAGCCCTGCTCTGTGCTAGTGCAGAAGGAGGGAGAGATGAGCACGAGTCCTGCAAGAGCTTCTCCAACAAAGCTGCCCCAAATGATTTAACAAAGGAGTTTTGGGGAGTCCCCAAAGGCTTCAACTTGCCTGAGCCACACTCAGAATGCTGGGGGGTCTCTGACATGTTTTCTAAGCACCTAAAGATTAGGAAAAGCAAACAAATAACAACAACAAACTGGAGGTCACTACAAAATCAGGGGAGGGTGAGGCTGGAGATCAGGGAAAGGTTTTTCACCCAGAGGGTGGTTGAGCACTGGAACCAGCTCCCCAAGGAAGAATCCTAGATTCATCCTGGTTGGAAGGGACCTTGAAGATCATCAAGTCCACCCATCACCTAAATCCCACCAACCATCACCTGATTTCCACATTCAGTGCTTAAACCATGTCACTAAGCACTATGTTTACATTTCTTTTCAACCCTTGCAGGGATGGTGACTCCACCAGCTCCCTGGGCAGCCTGTTCCAGTGTCCAACCACTGTTTGGGTCAAGAAAGTCTTTCTAATACTCAGTCTAAACCTCCCCTGGTGCAGCTTCAGGCCACGGTCACAGCACCAAACCTGCCTGAGGTCAAGAAATGAGTTCAGGGTGATGCTTGGGGTGTCCTACACAGAGACAGGAGTTGGACTCCACGATCCTGATGGGTCCCTGCATCTTCTAGGATTCTGTGTCAACTGCAAGTGGTAACAATGGCAGGATGCCAGGGGCAGAACCCTCTGTCTGAAACCCACCCGTGCCCCCAGGCACAGCTTTGCTCCTCTTCTTGCTCCTCAGCCCAAGTTTGCTTGATGTTCCTTGCCCACAGCAGAGTCTCCCAAGGAGACCAGAGCCATCCTGCCAGCTTGGCTCAGCAGTTTGCCAGCTCCTGACAAAAACAAGGCTTGACCTTTCCTTTCAGGCAACAACCAGCCCCTCCAGAACCTCCACGTTCCCCCAAGGCTGCCTGTTCAACCCACCTTCCTTTGTCTCACTTCTCATCACACAGATTGGTTGCAAAATGTTCATCCCCTGTATGGATTTCTCTAATTCCTATGATGCTTTCATCACACTTCTCAGGTGCTTGAGCAAGAGGTATTTTAGAAATCATGTAGATTTTCCAAC